CAGCCCCTCCACTATACCAAACAAGATGTCCTTCTCCAGGGACTCGTCTCTCCTAGCAATTAGTCCAAAGTCCCTGAGACGAAGTCTGGCCATCCTCGCCCTCTAAGGAGCATTCCGGCCGTACGCGGTTTGTCCTTTTAGCTGTCCATGGTACTTTCAGGATTCTTCTCCAGCACCACAATGCAAATGCATGTATTCTTCTACGGTTGTCCTTATTCAGTGTCCGATCTTGTACATAGCTTTGACTCCTAGTGACCCTAGAGGCCAGTGTGGAACTGCCCCCGAGTCACCGAGACTGTTGCTCTTTATGGGAGTAGAAAGCCTCATCTTTCTCCCATGATGCAGCTGGTGGCTTTGAACTGCTCATCCTGTGGTTAGCAGGCCAAACTGTAACCACCATGCCACCAGGGCTCCTTTTAGTCTGTGACTGAGGTCATATAAGGGAATAGAGTTTAATTCTCTTTCTTGGAAGTAGAAGCACACTGTAGATTAGACACTGGGCTGCTGACCACAAGCAAGGTCGGTGGTTCAGACCCAGCAGCCCATCTGTGGGAGAGAGATGAGGCTGCTGCAGTAGCAAAGGTGTACAGTCTCGAAATCGGATTCGACCGAATGGCTGTGGGCTGAGTGGGTTCTTTACGACTGGTCTTCTCTTAGCAGAACCATTGTGTCCACCTGGTAAGCCCATGCTTGGACACCACATCACCACGGAGGTTCTCTTATTCAACGGAGATAACGACAATGGGTGTTCAGATTTCCTGTATGTGTCAGGTTGCCTTGCTGTGCTCATTGACAGGGCCAACCCGTGTTTGTCTCATTTGGATGGAAAGGTCCCCATTGACCTCCTAGTTCAGATCACAGCTTACACCTCCTTTGTGAAACCATCCACGACCAGTCAAGCCGAACTCCCTGGGATTCCTGTTTGCCTTCAGGGATGGAGAGGAGGTGGGGCAGAGGGGAAGGGCAGAAGAATTAAGACTAAATGTTGGGAGATGAATATTCTTGGACTCACCCAAAGTTGAAGCTGACCCATGATAAGTTCTGTGGAAATGTTGAGCTCAGGAGCAACACTCAGAACCCCCCTGTGTCATTTCTGGTAGCACTGGAAGTGCACTGCTAACTGCAAGGTAGCCAGTTCAAAATCAACAGCATCTCCAAAGGAGAAGAGGCTTTCTACTCCTGTGAAGACTTCTAGTCTCAGAAACTCACAGGGGCAATCCTACCCTGTCCTATAGGGTTGTGGTCATTCGAGAGCAGAGACTACAGGTGTTCCAGAACCATCTTCCCCATGCCGGGCAGAAGACTAAACACTCACAGATACCTGTTGATGGTCTTTCCTGATGTTTTGTTCCCATAAATCCACCCTTTCATTGCTTGAAAGGTTGAGACATTTACAGTGAGCAGCATTTTCCACCTTTCTCTGCAGATCTACTTTTGCTTCTAGCTGTCAAACATGCAAACTCAGTTGTCATCTAGCTGATTCCACTGCATATCCACTTGATAGGACAGGAGAACTGCCCTGATGGGGTCCACAGACTGTAAGTTACTATGGGAGTAGAAAGCCTCATCTTTCTCCCCAGAAGTGGCTGGTAGTTTCGAACTACTGACCTTGTGGTGAGCGGCCCCACTCATCACCCACTATGTGGCCAGAGTTTCCTTTGTTTAAAGGGTCCCTGTGAGGTTCTGCGTAGCCAAGGAGGACCGGAGAGGGCGTTTGGTAGACACGGAGGGTGTGCGTGTTGAGTTCTCTGGTTGGTGACACTTGCATCTCTTCGGATGTAGGCTGTGCATAACAAAATCAACAGTGGCAGGGCTGGGCACATCAGCGGTGCAACTTTTAGCATTAGTTCTTATCCTGATGACAAAATGGAAACCTTCTCTTTCAACAGGTGACTGTCCCGTTTTGCTTTTTAAAATTTTATTCTATAAATACATCATTTTATTGGGGGCACTTACAGCTCTTATAACAGTCCATACATTAATTATATCAAGCATATTTGTACCTATGTTGCCTTCATCATTTTCAAAATATTCTCTTTCTGCTTGAGCCCTTGGTATCAGATCCCCTTTCCCCTACCTCCCCACCCTCCCACACTCATGGTCCCCTGATAAATTATAAATTAATATTATTGTCATATGTTACACTGCCCGCTGCCTCCCTTTGTTCATGTTATTGTTGTTCGACCCCCTGGGGAGGGGCATGGGACTGTATGTCATTGTACTCGGTTCCCCGTTTCTCCCCCTTCTCCCCCCACCACCCCCCTATCAGCATGGTATCGCTACTCCAATTGCTGTTCCTGAGGGGTTTATCTGTCCTGGATTCCGTGTTTCCAGAGCGCGTATCTGTACCAGTGTACATGCTCCGGTCTAGCAGGATTTTTAAGGTAGAGCTGAGGTCATGATAGTGGGGAAGAGGAAGCATTAAAGAGCTGTGTCAACTCCCTCCCCAGAAGAATGCACTACAGAGAACAGCACTGAAGAACAGCCCAGGGAGATTGGTGGATCTGCCCAAACTGCAAAGGAGCAAACTAAGGGGAACGTGGGGATCCCTGGTAGTGGGGTGATGTGCTGGGCTGCTAACCCCTAGGCCAGCAGTTTGGATCCACCAGCTGCACTATGGGATGGAAGGAGATGAGACTTTCTACTCCCCTAAAGAGTTGCAGTCCCAGACACCCACAGGGGCAGTTCTACCTTGTCCTGTAGGGTCACTGTGAGTCAGCATGCACTGGACGGATGGCCGTTGTCTGACTTTAAGTTGTCTCTTTCTGGGGGACCTGGCTAATTTCCTTAGTCTGGGAGTTCTCATGCTGATTTATGACTCAGGTGTTGTGTTCGTCTGGGTGGACTAGAGAAACAAATTCACAGACACTCATGTGTATAGGAAAGAGCTTTACATCAAAGAACAATTGTACATTAAGAAAACATCCCAGCCCCATCTAGATCAAGTCCATAAGTCCAATATTAGCCCATATGTTCAATACCAATCTATAAATTCCTCTTCAGACTCAATGAAACACATGCAATGATGCTGAATGCAGGAAGATCACAGGCCGGTGAGTGGAGAATCTTGTAGGTCCAGTGGCATTATAAACATCTCAGCTCTGGCAGGGGTCTCCCCATGGCTCCTTCAGCTCCAGGGCTCTAGCATAGCTCCATGGGTCTTCTCAACAGGAATGTCTCACAGGGACTGTGTGTGTGTGTGTCCTGCCTGCAGTGAGCTATTAATCTCCGTAGCCCCTCTAAATGAGGTCATCAAGCTGTGACCTGATTGGCAGGCTAAACTCCACCCCTTCACTCTGAAGTCTCAAACGGACCACAGATGATGTGACCACCACGGTGACCTCTTGCACATACATTTTGAATCATCACACCAGCTGGGTGTCCAGGACAGACCAGCTGATGGAGCATTTATTTCTGCTGCCCTGTTGGTTCTTGCAGTATGACCTCGTGGAGAGGCAGTGTGCAGGCACCTGAACCCCACCACCTGGGGGGGGGGGGATGGTATGTGCTACCCAGAAGGCAGTCCTCAAGCAACAGACCTCTCACCATTGGCGCCGGGAAGAATTTCTCAAATGGTGTATCACACCCCTCAGGCCTTGGCGGCGCAACGGGTTCAGCTTTGGGCTGCTCACTGCAAGGCATGTGGTTCAAATCCATCAGCGCTTGCTCCCACGGAGGAGAGGGAAGGATGTCCACTCTCTAGAGATTTACAGCCTCGGAAATCCTGTAAAGCCATTTTGCCCTGGCCGACAGGGTTGTGCCGGCCATGGGCGGGACTCTGGCAGGTTGAATGTAGAAAGATTTCACTCTTACTTTCCCCCCCAAATACAGCTCTCCTGTGTGTATATACATAGTTCTGACTGATCAGGATGCTGCAGGGTGGAGTAGAACTGCCCCTGTGCATTCACAAGCCAGCAAGCCCAGTACTCTTTTCGGGAGTGGAGAACCCAGGCCTTCCCCTTTGGAGTGGCTGGTGGCTTCGAACTACTGACCTTTGAGGGTAGTAACCCAACTCGTAACCACTACACCACACAGATGACTAAATCGAGTGTCGTTTAAGTACTGGCTTCTTTGGAAGCAACCATGCATCTCCTCAATGGGATCTTTCAGTTTTAGAGTCCTGCCCACCATGGCTTTGGTCCCCGTAGGCTTAATGGACATGTGTGGAGTCTGTACTTTGACCGCGTGGGAAAACCTGTAGTCAACTCCCTGGAGTGGGGTCTCCGTATGAGTCAGAAGCTATTCGATGGCAGTCACTTTGGGCATTTCGAGCTTAGCCCCCTGGCTTACTCGAGACACACTCCCTTCCTATTTGTCCGTACCTTGAAGTACAGCATTCTGACACCTCACCGTCCCCACCTTTGCAGACGTAGTCACAGGGCGCACACGGCAACAACAGCCGCAGTGACTGTGTCTCAGCACCGAGTACTGCTGACTTGTCGCTTGCTTGTGACTTGGGATCATTTAATGTAAAAGCACATCGGCAAGAAGAAGGATCAGTTTCACAGGGTTACAGGGAAGCAGGTCGAAGGACCTTGTTTGGCAGTCCTTGGCCTAACCAACAGCTATTCTCAGATGGCGAGGGATAGCCTGGCGATGCCGAGTGCATGTGTGGAGGCTTGGCGAATGACTGGAGAAACTGCTCTGCGGTGGACATTGGCGACCCTGGTGGGTGTCGTACCTCTGACAAAGGGAGGCTCTGTGTTGTACATCAGGAAGAGGAGTTTTCCTTGGTCCATTTGCTCTCCTCTGACACCTATAATGCACTAAGCCTCCATCCTCCCGGGCTCTCCCTTTACTGTAGCTTCACTTGCTTCAAATATTCATTCTCAAGCAACTATTAGTTCAAAAATCATACCATGAAGTCTTCCTTGCACCACCACCTTGCCGCGCTTAACATTTCAAATCGTCCTTGTTAGAGCACCGTCATTGTACCAGGTCTTTGGTGTGGACACAAAAAGCCATCCGAGTAACCCCCATTTTTCTCTGTTCTCTTCCAGGCTTGACAGATGAAAAAGTGAAGGCGTACCTTTCTCTACACCCCCAGGTGTTAGATGAATTTGTGTCCGAAAGTGTCAGTGTGGAGACGGTGGAAAAGTGGCTGAAGCGGAAAAACAACAAGCCGGAAGGTAAGGCTTCCTGGAGGTGGACGGCGGCTTCATGGTGAGCCGGCAGCTCCCTGGTGTAGTCTGGCAAAGGGAAAGGCATGCAGTGCAGGTGGAGAAGCCAAAGGGAAAGCAGACAGATTCCAGGCCAGAGCCCATTTTAGTTTTGCCGGAGTGCCATCCTGTCTAATGGCATCGCCTAAAGTAAGTCAGACTGGGGTGAAAGCAGCTTCCAGGAACAACAGACTTGGCAAGCGAATCCGGGGGCTCAGCTGGTTTGGACCTGGCGACGTTGAGCAAAGGCAGGCTTCAGTACCAGACTTGATTTCATGTACACCGTCAATCCTTTTAGAAAGACTCTCCTCACGCCCGTTTCAAAGAGGTATTTGGAGGATTGTGTTATTTTTAAGAAAAAGAGTCTTTAACAAATTGCTTTGCATGCAGGGAGTGAGCAGCTGCTTCTGCCTCAGGCTGTCCCTGCCGGTCACCCTCTCTAACAGCACTGTTGGAGCTGTCCCTGGCAGGGCGAGCCCCCTGGGGTCTCAGTGGTCCCTGTGGGTTTCCAAGACTCGAACTCTGTACAGGAGTCGAAAGCCTCATCTTTCTCCTGCAGAGCAGCAGGGGGTTTTGAACTGCTGACTGTGGTTAGCAGCCCAGCGCACATCCCACTGCACCACCAAGGTTCCATGCGATCCCAAATGAAGAGAAGTGGGGGAAGTCATGAATGAGGAGACACTATTTTATTATTATTATTATTATTTACTACTTATATTTCAATCAGACCCTTAGTTGTTTTTTTCCTTTTTGCAAATGAATTAAATGTTCTGCAGGAAGACTTCCTTTCGCATATTGGTCTCTTATCCTCTCAAAGGCGTTTATTTTTAGCATAGAGATGCTTAAGAAGCAGCCGTCTTTATGAAAGAAGAAATGTAGACGCAAAGGGGACGTGGAATGAAATAACAAGCTCCCCCCACCCCTGGAATCTATTTTGTTGGCGCACATCCCCTCTTCACTTGCCAGCTCTGTCACTGTAGGACATTTCCCGACTCCTGCAGTGGGCGCTGCTGGCCACTCTGTGGTGCTGGAGTGGCCTCGCTCCTGGCTGTACTGCGTGCCCCGGTGTGAGGCGGGAGCAGCACTGGCGTGCTGGCTAAGCTTCTGTGTTGAGTGGTTTGGCAGTTACGTGAAGATGTGATTGGGCGAGTATGTGACTTGGTGATTCTGTAGTAAGGTAGGCACCCTTCACTTTGTGATCTGATGTGGGCCATCCTCAGTGTTTGCACAATGACAGTTTTCACAGAACAGCCCCGTCTTTGGGACCTAAACTGGTCGGTAAGTGAGCACCTGTGGACTGTACATCCTCTCAATGTTGTTATGTGAATTTTTATTTGGCCAAATATGAGTTCTCATTTCTATGAATATTGTTTTTCCAGTGACAGTTAAAGATGTGTGTGTCTGTCTGTGTGTGTGTGTATCTCCACATAATGAACTTTAAGTGTGCTGTCCTACTGGGGAATGTTGTCTAGTGCAATAAAGTTTCTAAAAATATAAAAATGACTGTTATTAGAATGCTGTATTGCTAGTGATGCTGTATCCTACTGGGCAATGTTGTCTAGTGTAATAAAGTTTCTAAAAACTATAAACATGGTCCTTATTAGAATGCTGTGTTGCTAGTGATGCTGGTGATCCTCCTGTGGTTTTTAAAGTTTCTGTAATTTCCTTACCCCATTTCCATAATAAAAATAAGGCAGACCTCTGTTCAAGAGGACTTTGTCACTGAAGCAAGTTGTTTTTAGAGAGTGTGTGTGCGTGCGTGTGTACACGCACATGCATGAGTGAGCCAGGAGGAAAAGAGAGGGAGACGTATGTAAATCAGACAGGAATATCCTTCTGAACATCAGCAGCTGCGTGGTATCAGGAGCCAAGCTTCACACAGCACCACTGGGGAAACCTGTGCGATGCAGAGCCCCCGGGAAGTGCCTCGTTCTTCCAGGTCTTGCAGGTTTTCTGCCATTGAGAGGGTGCTCTCTCACCATGTCTGAACCACGTGTTTTAGTGAAAACCTTTGTGCTCTTCTTCTCCAAGTGTGATTCGCACCTTACACACACCTGGCTTTCCCGAGCTTTACTCTAGCGGCTGCTAACCTCCGTTCAACCTCTGAGGTGTTCCACATTTGAAAAGAAATGCTTGGATTTTGTTGGAGATATGCCAGATGGACACAAAGACCAACCGGCTGTACAGTGGGGCAGGCTATATAGCCCAGGGAGGGACGCTCCTGCGGGACAGGAATCAAGCGCAGGTTGTAGAGAGGGAGCATATTTTAGGGCGACAGTGCGTGACCAATGCAGACGTTGTATTCACAGGTGACATGTTGCATCCCCCAAACCTCCATGTCACGGAAATTACTGGGTGATAGGAATATTCCAGGATGCTTCTCAAACACCCCGAGGGCTCAGATGACGGGGAAGGACAGCTTGAGAAGCAGGGCCTTTCATGCTGGGGCCTCACCAGGAGATGGCTTTGACGGTGGCTGTGTGGCAGCCTGGAGACTGGGTGAGGAGGGCGCTGAACGAGCTGCAGGCTTGGGCTCCCCCAACATGAGCTGCAGTCCCACAGGGTGCAGCATCCGAGGGAAGCTTGAAGCCCACCATGTAATCTGCTAGGACCTTCTCTCCCTCCTCTTCCAAGGGAGTTTTTCCATGTATGCATCTCATTATGGATGGGGAGGATGGCCTAACACCCTGAGTCATTATAATGCTTAGGTGGGCAGTTATATTTCAGATGATCAGCTTTGTAGTCAACAGTTGAAACTCCTTGTCAACACGCGCCCTCCCCACCCCCAGCAGTTGACCCCTCACCCACTCCTTGGTTATTTCTCTCTCTTTTGTGGACTGCCATCTTCCATTTCCCCCAAGTTAGCTAGCATTTGTCAACACTCGCTCACTGCTTTGCTGTCAACAGTTTGCCCTCCCTGGTCCTCCCTGCCTCCTTAGCTATCTCTGAAGTCTGTTCCCTTTGCTGGGAAGGGAAGTGATGCTCTACTCTGTATTTCTGACCTCTCTGTGGAGCCCTGGTGGTGTAGTGGTTGAGCTCAGACACATTGAGTTGAAGACTGAGAGGTCAGCAGTTTGAAACCGCTGTTGTTCCTTGGGAGAACGATGAGGCTTTGTGTCCGTGTAAAAGAGTGACGGTCTCTGAAAGCCACAGGGACAGTTCTACCCTGCCCAGCAGCGCCACCATGAGTCAGAATTGACTTGGTGGCCGAGAGTTGAGTTGTTGAGTTGAGTGAGCCCTGGTGGTTTAGTGGTTACAGGCTAGATTGTGTCTTCTGCGAGGTTGGCGGTTTGAAAGCGCCAGCAGCTCCACGGGAGAAAGGTGGGCTTTCTACTCCCATCCACAGGCACAGTCTCAGAAACCTACAGGGGGGGCGGGGGTTGTCACCATGCCTCAGCATTGATTCACTGGCGGGAGTTTGGCTTGGTTTTGGCATTCCATGTGGCCACCACACAGTCTGCTCAGCACTTGTTGCGAGCTTTTCTGGGATGATCACTGTATTAGTCTAGGTACTTTGGAGAAACAAATCCATGGCGACTCACGTATAAGAGAGAGTTTTATGTAAAGAAAAGGTGCATCACGAAAACATCCCAACCCAATGCTGCCCAAGCCCACAAGTCCAACATTAACCCATTAACCCAACACCAGTCCACAAAGTCCTCCACCTCACAAAACAGAGGCAATAATGCCGACTGCAGGAGGAAAGCTGAGTCCGTGAACGTGTAAGCATCTCAGCACTGGCAAGGGTCTCCACACAGCTGCTCCGGCACCCAGGGCTGCATCGGGATAGGTCCATGTGGCTTCTCCTTGGGGATGTCTTGTAGGAAGTCAATCTTGCAAGCTGAAGCAGGGAACTGCTAAGGCAGCTGCACCCGATACAACCATCACAAAGCAAGAGACTCGAGACCTAGAAAGGCGAGGCTTCACCACCCATTTATCCCTCCGCCTTTCAACCAGCACAATTAACGATTATCGGCCAGGCTGGCACAATTAACTAACTCAATCACCCCCTTGAGGAGTTGACAGTCTAACAAAGAGGAGGGACGATGTGTAAATAGCTGCTTTCTGCTGGCTCGTCTGACAGTGGGGTCAGACGTAGTCCACATGGGTTCTTTTCAGGCAAGGTGGTCTTGTCGGGTAAAGAGGATGACACCGAGTCACTGTCCATGGCGTGTTGACAGGGAGGAGGGGGCTTGGGGACCAGTGGATAGCCATATGTCCTCAGAGATTGAATTTTAAGTAGCTTAAAGAATTTTTTTAGGGTTCATGTTTTCTGTTTTTAGGAACCCCGGTGACATAGTGGTTTTGTGTTGGGCTGCCAACTGCAAGGCCAGCAGTTAGAAACCACCAGCCTCTCCGAGGGAGAAAGACAGGGCTTTCTACTCCCGAAGAGTGACCGTCTCAGAAACCCACAGGGGCAGTTCTCGCTCGTCCTACAGGGTCGCTGTGCATCAGCACCGGCTCGATGGCTGCAGGTGTTTTCTGTTTCACTTCATTGCCTGACACCATGGTTCCTTTCAAATCATGAAGCCCTGTCTCTAGTTGAGAGCGAAGTTGGCCTTTCGAGGTGGACCTCTGATCCTAAATACCAAACAGCCCATCCTTCCGGTGGTGACCGGAAATGAGAGTTTGCGGGTGTTTTGAGTATGCCCGGCTGTCCTCGCTTAGGGAGTGTGGGACCCTCTGCTCAGAAAGAAATCACGGCAGCCTGCCACCCCTCGGAGCGGACTGCCACGTCGAAGCGGCTTTCCCTCCAACGACGGTACTTCTCTTTGGGAAAAATCTTGGAAAGAAAGAAAGAAAGAAAATAATGTAGCCCAGAAAACCGCCTCCCTAAATGTCACACTTTAATGTTCGTTTTTACGTGCAGCAAGTTTGGCAGGCAAAATGAGTTGGTCCCTGCTAGGCTCAGCTTCCTGACCATCTAAGCCGGTCTCAGCATGCCTGCCTAAGGTCCCCGATGGGGAAGT